GTAAGAAAACTAGTCAACAGGCTCGAGAAGAATATTTAGCCATGGTTTGACGTATGTCGTTTTGCCTTGTACCCAAACCGAGCAGAACTGCAGGAGAAATCGATACACGTGGCCAGACAATTGTTGATCGTGTGCGTTATCACTGCGGGCCCTGTTCTGTTCACATCCAAATGTGTGCATATGTGTGCATGCAGTCTAACACATTTGGTGGGAGTAGCCACTAATAAATCATCCAATCTCATCGGGAGCTCTGCAAATCACACGGTCCTAGTGTCGCAAATAGAGACGAAAAATATAGTTTGGATTGAGTTGCACAGTAAAACCCAAATTGAATTAATTTCGACATCACTGGACTGAAAACAAATATAATCGCGCACATTTTGTCGTGTGATCTAGAGCTGAATAAGCATGTTTCAGGGCAATGACTGAGGCTGCTGGACAAAGACACCCCATTGGGTTGCGAGAAAGATCACGGCATCATTATTAACCGAATTGAGAGACCGCTGTTTTTCTTCTCAGTGAGTGAGTAGTACTAACCAACAAAAATTTGGCCTGGGCCACATTGCGGTGATCTGTATGGATTCGCCTTCAGTAAGATTTTATTCTTTTCACGAATTCCAGCCTAATTGGAAATGAAAACGAAATGGATTAATCTGGTGTCTTTGAACTACTGCTTGGAATTTCGAATTTCAACCAAATTAGATCTTTGAAGGACGGAAGATTCTGAAAAACGATCACGGTAGCAAGCTTACCATCTTGTTGGACATTTCGTACACGAGCTTTTTTCTTTCTTTCAAAAATTACCTAAGCATTCCGGCGAAACTCCTTGGTGGTTAGCTACCTAAATATTCTGAGTAGGGTACAGTGAATACAACCAGTCACCGGTTTCTATACCTTGTGCAAACCATATTGTCGGGATATCAAATCAAAATATCAGCGTATCATTTCAATATCATACTGTCCCTTCGTCATTTTTATTTGTCCAAAACAGCCACACGAAAGAGCGTGGTTATTGGCTGTACAAGCTGAAACGGAACTGAAACCGTTAACCCTCTCAGAGTTGCAAGGTCTGCCAACTATTGAAGCCTCATACTCATGTTTGGCTTATCACCATTCAATACAGATTTCTCAGCCTTTTGTTGAAACGCGAAGGGAAACGGTGTTGTGACCTGCCTAGTTCCCATACGCCCGAAATCCCGTGACATCTCGGACGGTTACCTTGCCGTACGTGTGCAATTGTGCGTGTGTGTGTGTCGGTTTGTCACTCTCCCTCTCTGAATAATCACATCGTACCATATTCCGCTGACACCAATGGATCATGCTTGGTGGATATACACGCCAAATTCACATCCAGTTAGCGGGGCGCTAGCAGATTTTATTCCATTATAATACCACCACCACCCTATAAAGAATTGAACTATCCAAAGGTGTATTTTGTCCATTCATCCCGGAAAGAACAATATACATCTATCAAACCAACTGCAATTGAAAAAGCTGACAAAATGTCATACGACAGGTGTGAACTGTAATTAAAAATTTGGCTCATTTTTCAAAAATACACTGTCTGGATTTTGAATTCCGTTATGTATTTTGTTGAAGTTTTATGGTCTTTTTGAGCCACTCATCCATTACAGATTACTATCATGAAACGGGCACGGTCAAATGCGGCTAAGTTGTAACATTCATGCTTAGCTATTGTGAACTGGATTCGACTCACCTTACCTTCTCCGATACAGCTAACCGAATAGCGGAATGTGCCCCAAGATCATAGGAGCACTCCCATTTCGCGAGTCACTTTGAACAATAGGAACATCACAACGGTCATTCTTTATACAATGATTACAGACACCAGGACCCACCAGAAAATGCAAAATTTTCAATAACTGAGTCCGTATGAAAAATATTCTCGAAGATATCTAAACTGAATACAAAGAGGAAAAAGGGTCCAGACATCGCTATTGTGGATTGGTTTCCCCCCAATCGAGTGCACCTTGTCCACAAAGTCGCGGAATCGACTCACTTTAATTTCCAAATTGTCTCCACTGGTCAGATTTCTTAATACTCCGACCGTATTCAGGCAGATTTGGGCGTGATCCGAAAAGAGCAATTGGACGAGCGCGGCGATTCCACCACACTGACTGCAAATGTAAAAAAAAACACTGTTCAACAGAACGCGCCAGCATGTAACTCATTCTGTAATTTGCATGCACACATTCTAACGCACGCTTCCACTCAGATTACTCACACGGAGACACTTTTGTACAAGGTGCTCTAAGAGATTGATTGATAGACTTGCACTTTTATCCTAATCACCGTGCCATTTTGCGTCGATAGCATATCATTACCGGGGGTGGCGACCTTGACCTGAGCTGGAATCGTATTTGAGTTGGAGATCGACTTTATAAGCGGAAGCTGGGTGAAATAATCATGCTTTGTGACGAAAGTTGCATGTAACGATAAACATTTGCAACACTTGATCAATATAATTACCCTCAAGCGACATTATCTTGATAATGCAAATGTTAATTTTTCCATCCGGAGTAAAATCATTTCGCTTTAAAATAAACTAAGAATTGAGAACTCTACAACGGGGAAAAATCGATCAAAATTATTTCGATGCAACCGAGTTTGGAAAAACGGATGATTACCACCCTTACTATGTTACCATCATTGTTCACGCAACCACCTCAGCGGAAGAACAATCGACTGTAATTAACTCCGGACCATCAAACAGTAGTGGAAAGGTTGACGAGACCAGATGCAGCAGCATTACTTTGCAATTTGGAAGTGCAAAACACTTACCAAACGGAAGAACAGAACGTGTTATTTTGTCACTTCCGCTTTGCACTTCCTCCATTCATTCGAACGAACAAACGATATCGTCAGCGTACTCCAATTCACACAGCTTTTCTACAGCTGCCCATTCAATATTGTAAATTTTGAGAACGATTAGTACGTTTCCCAGTATTTTGCTTACAACACTGACCAGTATAGCGAAATAGAGAATCCTTGAAAAACATCGCTATTGGTTTCAAACGCACTACTTCACTAGTCGTAGAATCCTACTCCACCAGTGGCATCAACACCTAAGTTAATTCTGAGGCATTCCTCTGCAAGGAAGTTAACCGATTAGGCCGTCACGATCAAGTGAGTCGAAGGCAATCTCAAATAAAAGAATACTGTGTTCGTTCTTCGAAAATATGTGTGGCATAAATACAGGATTTGAGACAATGTGAGGATTTGATCAATACAATGGCAACCGGTTGTAATCATGCTTACTGTTCACGGATATTCGTCCCTCACAAGGGTGTCAGGTGGCAAAGTGTCTCAGAAGCTAAAACTTTGACGTTGGTTGGAACTTAACTTATCCCGATCGTTGCTTGTTTCCTTCCTGAAAGTTGAAATTGCCAACAATTCGCTCCAGGATAACGGGATGCGCTGTTCCTAGTTAATGCTGTGTAGTGAACCAGTAATAGTACTAAGAGGAGAGTCTCCTTGATCTTAGAAAGAATGGGGAGAAGTTCATTAGGCTTGGATGCTTTTTCTTTCCATAGTAACTAAATATTATATTGTAATTCTAGTTCTGATTAGAATGCACAAGATATGGCTATTATGCTTTGACTACAAAAACTGGAATAGCGGCACTAGTACCGAGTCAGATGAACTTTTCACTAGAACACACTGATTAGTGATACACTAAATGCCCGTCCCTGTTAATTATGGGTTCACTCTTACCGCAGTTTGTTTCAGTAACGACGACCTCCGATGTAGTGTACCAGGCGCAACATTTACTAACTGTTCCCCCCTTACTATCTCTTCTATGGCTTTTACTGGGTGACGGTTGCAGATGCCACATGCCGTTGGGCTGTTCGTGGTGCACTGCAATCTTTTACTTTTGTTCCCTCAGGACGTCTGACTCGAGAGGTCCTATGTCTTGGAAGGACCTGGAGCTTGGATCCTCAGGCTGGCTGTTAAATGCACTGAGCACCTAATCTGATCCAATAGTTATTCTAATCTACCATGTTGTAATACTTCTAGGACATGCCTGAGCCTTACCTGCAAACAGCTGCGTCACGCAGACAATGATGGACTAATGGAGGCTACACGTTTTGCTAGTGGCCAATGAATCAAACCACAAAGATCATCAAATTGAGTGTGTGATTAAAATCAAAGCATACGGTCCAGTTGTACTCCCAGTTTGGTACTGAGTCAGTTCAAGGTAGTTTACCGCTATGTGGTCAATTTGGATCAATTTACCAGCTGAACTAGAACAGGGTCTTATCGTCCGTCAAGCATTTTGTCGAACGTTGGTGGTAGATAAAAGTAACCTATGAACTGCGTAAAACGGTATTAGTCAAGTATTCACTGGACAGACAGACAGCAACAATTTTTAGACAGGTTTCGCTTGCGCTCAGTTTTCCAAACTGCAACCTAAAATCATCCACTACTGTAAAAGTTCCAGAGCCGCGAACCAGTCGGATTAATTCGGTGGGTTTGTTGTAGTACTTGTCCTTTTTGCATTAGGACGGCAACTAATCGGCGCAGTTCCTGAAGTGATAAACAACCAATTTTTGGTTTTTCTTCCTTTCCGAATACTGCCTAAATCCTGCAGTCTCATCGCGGGTCCATTGCGAAAGCAAGACAAACCTTCTGGTCACTATTCATGAGGGTCCTCCGTTAAAGGTCATCCGATTCAAAGGGGCTTCAGAATCTGCACTTCATGCGGTTGTGCACCACTAAAAACAGTATTTGCAACGAACTTTCCTGAATGATAAAAAGTTATGGGCTGGAAATTAGAGCAGATGGATATGCAACGAGAAGCGCTGTCTTGATTAACCTGCACAACAAACGACGACCAACGCATTATGGAATTATTTTCGGTTTGTATGTTTAGTGGGGTTTGTTGAATGAATATTGGTAGGACGTCCAACCACTAACTGAAGGACGGGAATATGGTTCTTAACCAAAACCTCCAGTTCTTACAAGAACCTGGCTACAAGGCAACGAATAAGATAAAATAGAGGCCCATTCAATGGAATCGATTTTTTCGAGCGGATGGTTAGCTGCACTGCAGATACTCATGCTTACGAAGGCGTTACAGAACATCTATACTGTCCGATTAATTCAAAAAGAATGACTGCACACTGTTTGATCGATTTATGCTCATAGATCTACTTGAATATAAATGCATGTAAGTTTGTCGTGCTCATTCATTAAGCAAACTATATGGTAATCCTCTGCTACATCACATTAGAGTCTTGATAAGTCCATCATTTATACTGACTGAGATTAAAACTCGACTGAAGCTTTCTAACCTGAAGCAATAGGAGTCTAAACTTTTTCTAACCTTCCACGACTTAGAACTTTGGTCTAACAGAAGCAACCTTATGTGAGCCGTTGTGTCACAGACATGCACAAGCTATCACACAGTTCAAGATGTACGACATGTATGACATAAAACGGTACTAAATGGTTGTACTATGAATTACTGAAGCCAATAAGAACTTGGATTTCTCTTTTCTTAACGGTTAATAAAAATGTAGTACACACTGCAAGTATTGGAATTTTTAAAGTGGTTCATGTATACGGAAAAAAACAAAGCAAACTTATAGAGCACGCCGAAGCGCTTTTCAAGATTAGTAGTTGTTCCTTTTATTCTCTTGCTTTTAATCAATGTTCACCAAAATTGTTTGTTTTATTGATCGATGAACCTCTGCAAAAAATTGGGGAAATGAGAAAATCCAACTGCGGAACCACACTGACCACCGATCTTTTCACATTTTGGTCACCCACCCATTTTAAAAAAGCAATTAACTGCATCATTTAACATGCAAGATGTTTGTCCGCGTGGCTTTGCCTTAAAAGCTAACGAAATCCATGGGACGAACTTAAAGGCTAAGTTCATTGTTTGAATATTGTTGCCTGACGGATAATTCAAGACCGTTGTCTCATATTTGGATTACAAAGTGTGGATAGCGTCTATGTGGGGGTTCAAATCCCACTGAGTATACTGATGTTATCACAATGCTAACCTCATAAAATGCTCCTTCTTTACCTCGCAGATAACATGGGTTGAAAATCGATCTAAGTTGAACGAAACAGTGGTAAGGCCGAGGAGGATCATTTTGCTTTAACGGTAATCTACATTTAGAGGAGTAAGTCCCAAGTAAGGTCACAGTTTTGTATACGTGAAAGTCGACCACGGGAGACACAAAACGAGAAAACAATGGCAATTAATGAGCTGGAGGGGCACAACTCGGATGACAAATCTTAATGCAAGACCGTAAAGCAATGATTGCGTTTGAACTCAAGTTATGCGTCATCTTCACTGCCCTCCTTGGTAAAGGAGAACTGTGATATCGGGTAGTTTAGGCTACTATCAGTTCTGAAAAGGGTCGAATTCAAACCGTTTGAAAATGCTCTCTCCCACTTATTCATTGTATGCTCAAACATTCACGGTAATTCTTTTTGTTTGGTTTCCCTGTTACCTAAGCAAAAAGCAAACTGTATACTAATATTTCAGGAGTACAGCTCAGAGACAGAATTCTACGTTGGAGCAAACAAAATTTTTTACCTTCAGATTTCAGATATTTAACTACTGAAGTTTCTAGTCGGAGCCATTTGATTCATAAGCAGTTTGCCGTTGGGTTGATTGCTTCTATGAAACATTTTGCCGGTCTCGCTTTGATCACATGAAACAGACCAGGGAAGCGTCGGACAACACGTCCAGCGAAAACCCTGAGCCTGCAGACGTTTCTGTACCAGACGTGACTCAATAAACTTCTGAGGCAACTCAGTAACTGAAATGGATTATCCAGATTTTCAAAACAAAACTCCGCCTAGCCAAAATCAATGAAGGGAGTGTCAAAAGAAAGTACACATTATGAAATCAATTACGTCCTCCCCCCCCCATAATAAGTCCCGTCGGATAAGCTTCCCAGAGACATTCGATATCTTAGACGAATTCGGGTACCACTTTGGTTTGCCGAATGTATATGAGGTATCAGAAAGACTTGTACGACGGGACTTAACGAGGGGCAGGTGACCGCGGTCATTGCAATGCATATTTTTCTGTTGACAATCCGCAGTATGGCTTTTGTAATGATTAGTTTTGTTTTGGATTCCGTGGATTGAATGGGAATAAATTATAGAACATACACTGTAAGTTGTTTTGAAGGAATCCAGCAATGTGAGTGTGTTAATGTAATATCAAACTAATAACAGACATTTATTCCGTCTGCAATCCGCACAATTTTCCATTCTCGCCGTAACTCCTGCCGCAAGACTTACGGCTGAACAACACAGGTGAGGATGCGCATCTTGAGATTATGACTAGATGAGTGCAGTATGATCTTAGCAATTCCATGCGGATTGGCAGCCACCAACCGAGAACATGTAAAAACAATTGGTCGACGGGTTCACGTGAATGGGAAGGGTCAAACTTTGGAAAGTATAATACGAAACCATGACGAACTTACCGCGTTTTATCCTTCAGACTAGGATTTCGATAGACTAGGTGTTGCAGATAGGCTGATGCATTTGCAACCACATCCGGATCAGGAGATTGTAATAAACGAATCAATTGGGGCACATCAATATCGTTTGAGAAATTGATCATTTTTGATCTGTTCCACGTGGAATATCGATCAGTTCGGGACATTGATGCGGAACTCGAACGTCCGGCTCTTGGTGGTGACCAGGAAACTGAAGAGTGAGTGTTATCCAATATAAAATGTGTGTCAGATCATTCATATTTCAATACTTCAATTCAAAAATACCACGAAGTAAAACAAAAGGAGCTAAAATGGTCTTCTATATGCCGAAAGCTTTCAGTGCTTCATAATTCAAGGATTTTACTCCGGCTATTTGCGGTTATAATGATTAGAAATCATATCAATCGCTTTAATTGAACTCGTTTATTGTAAACACCATTACCCATACTATGCAGTGGAGTAATCCTATGATAAGGATAAAGAAACATTTCACTCAAACGAATTCATTTTACTGCGAGAAATCCCTCTGATGTGCTTCGAACCAACTTCTTGACAAACTTAGTCTACCTGAATCTAAATAGTCGCCTTGATACTGCACCCAGGTTTCTATTTCTTCTCTTCATTGCTTCATCCAAATGACTTGACAGAAGACAGCGACCAAGACCGCCACACAAAAGTACTAGGTTAATGATTGTGAAAACTGAACCTGAACTGAAACTTTACAGAACTTAGTAAAATCACATGGGATCGCCTTTCTCTTATGTCGGTGGACTCGAGTGAATTGTATGACTAGTTTCATTAGGATAGGCGGATTACAGCTAATCCTAATCTATAATCGATTATGACCGCAGTAGTTTCGAATTCTCACAGTGCAAGGGTAAATCCGTCAATGAGTAAATTGTCTGTCATGTGATTTCATCAGACCGAGGACAAAATATACAATTGGAGCAACTGATTCGTGCAAAACCAAGTATTGATTTTTTCACTGATACGATCTCCACAAACGCCAGTCTAGTTTGTTTTCAGTAACCATATGTATCCGTGCTCCGGTTCTGGTTTCTGCGTTTCTACTGTCCACTTGATAAACGAAAAGCAAACAGTAATACCAATATGAATGAATATAATCTTCAGATGAAATACATTTGTTAACAGGTAGTATAAATATGCTCGTGTAAAAAAATTATACCATCCAATGTCTCACTTGATCTTACTTTCTTCTTTCCTCCAGTTGCCCCGAAAAACTTCACCAACCGAAACATTCTATCTGCGAATATGCTTAGTAGATGCGCTGCTCACTGCTGTGATCGACACATACAATCTCCACTTGCTCAACTTATGGAAGTGGAGGAAATGGGTGTGCAAAGGGCGAGATTCCAACCCGCAACCTCTGAGTGGCTGTGACAGTGATCTCAATCGCTTGGCCACCATCGCCCCTACAGAAGACGATAGTTATAAACCTCGTGATGCTCACTGAACCTAAGGATGGCTCGTCCAAGGGCCACGCTAGACTTGTTTTATTATAGGAAAATGACAAGGTTTTCCTACCAATAGTTTGTGATATTTCCTAAAAGACAAATATCATTTATCTGTACCACACCGTTTGACTGGTTGAACGGCTGAAGTGCAGGTTGAGTCGTTTACCGAAAACCGGTTGCCTTGGTGACACCAAACTCATTCAACGCCAAATGAGCCCTCGTATATGCACTCACATTTTATCAGATGATCATTCTCCAGAGTAAATGCAGGTGCCCAAGTGGCAAAGTTTTTCTAATTTTTCTATGGCTTTCACGGTTTGGGAGAGACTGAGCTTGGGATCAAGCGAATTATCTGAAAGTACTTTGAGTATTGAAAGTTCTAAATGCATGCAAAATATTCAAACAACCAAAACAAGATTGAACCTTACTCAAATATTCCCTCCGCTGTATATTGTATTGTCTGCGAGAAGTACATCAATGTCACTATTCTAGCAAGAATATAGAGCCCTTTATCAAATCATAATAACTGCCCAGTCGGAAAAGCTCGGGAAAATAACGCAACACCGATGAACACTGCTCTTCATATTGAACTCGGATGCCCCGGAACGCAAATGGGGCTACGATTGGCGTTGTATAATGAACGGACAAAGATAAATAAACTCCTTGCATGTAGTGTTCATGGAACGTTAAGAACCGCTTCCAGATGGAAGAAAACAATACTATTGGTGGGTCCAAGGAACCAATATCTGCGTTCCCGAAGTCGATGAAGGATGAAAGGACTGTTGATCCAGCTCTGAACAGGTTAAAAACCAATCCGGTTCTCCAGTGTGCATTGCTCTGGTGCGGCAAGCAGTCAGTGAACTCAAAGCCTAGGAAGAAACTGGGGGCGCTGATAAAGCAAACTCAAGTAAGGTTTTCACAAGAAGATTTATTTTATTTTGTGTGAGTGAAAAAGCAACTGCTTTCCATTATTCTTTCTCTCATAATGAAACAAGACAGTTTGTTGATAGCAAGATCAAGGTTGAACCGTCGTCCGTAAAAATGGATTCGAACAACTGAGAATTTCATTAGTGGTGTATCTTTTGAGGTACTTTATCATCTACAACAGTTTGACTTCTTCAAAATAAGGTTGTCCATAATGTACTGCAATCAACATCAGATAGTTCAATTGCGAACAACCGAATTAATGAATGATTGCGATTCTTCATTCAGTCATATAAGTCGTTAAATCTATGTTTTTAAGTCAAAATTAAGTCAGACAATTGCTTTATTCACCCCAAAGGGATGCATTCTCAGCATTGTACTGCATGAGATACTTCAGCATCTAATGCAATCTGAAGCAAGAAATGAAACAATAATTGAAGTAATGGGCATAGGTGCAGGAAAGAGAAGGTTTCCATAGTCAGCTGGGGCCTGTTGCATCACACGTTTTACCAAATAGTTAATGACAGAAAAACGGAAAGCAGATGTACGAGCATGAAGCAGGTTTTACTGGTTCTGTGATGCTGAAGTAAGCAGACATGTACTAAATAACGGGTTGAATGATTAAACGCAGTCGGACAAAGTGCTATAACAGAAACTTTTGTCGGAACCATAGGTTTTAATCAAAATAAGTATGACTAAATTCGGTTGTACGATTACTCTGGCAAGTGAGATGGCCTGTGTGGATCTGTAAAGTGACAATAATTATAGGATGGAAAATGGGGTAGAATGTTTCCATATAGAAAGCATTTTGCGTGTATGAGAATACCACGTACTATGTGAGACAAGATAATTCACTTTTTTAGCCCTATGGATGCACTGGTTATACATATATCAGATTACGAGGTGAATTGGAATCCGTCGGTAAAGTAGTCTTTGATTAATGCCAGTAACCGGGCGGGTAATTGAGCAGCTTATGGCGAACAGGGTAGCTGAGACCTATACAAACAGAGCAGCGGTGACTATAATCAAGGAAACACGCACCAAATACCTTGCGGAGACTATCAACAGTAGACAAAAATGAGTGAATGAAATGGATAACAGTGCCCAAAGTAGATTGTTTGTGCCGATACGTAAAATGTTTGTTATCGTAAAAATTGGTCCCCATACGGAGTAGAATAAATCTTTTCAACGTCTTCAGTAGAACAGATGTAGAGATAATGGATCGAAAGCTATCGAATTATCTTTCTCAAATGTGAGTAGTATGCATGGTTCTCCAAAGATCTGTTATTCTTTTTTAACGGATATATCTTCTGAAGAATGAAGTGGACAGCCTGGTTGCTCATTAGCACATTCTTAAAGTACCAAAGATTGCAGTTCATTGGTCCCTGGGGCTTCATTAGATTGAAGGCATTTTAGTCCGCAAATCACTGAACTGTGGCTGACTAGAACCTCATTATCACTTTTGAAATAGTGAAGTTCAGTTTTGCAGTTTAAACCGGACGTGTTTGGTGACCAGGTAATAAAAAACACCTCGTTCAGTCCTTTTACTGTCAGGTGGGCCCAACGAGGTCTGTATTTTACGCCTCAGAGTTTCTTTAGTTTGTTCTACAGCTGGAGACAGCTAAGCAGATGTACAGTCACTGTATTTTTTCTGATCTCAGACTTGACCACTGCGGATATTCTTTTCACTAGCCCTCGGTCATCAATTTTGTGTCCTCATTCCTTCTATCCCTTGAACTGGGGAGAGGAAAACCATCGGGTTTGATATGAGTAAGTACTAACGGATTACAGGTATTATAGAGAACGTTAATACATTCGGTCACTCTACCATAGCAAGCGGAACTGATCAAATTTTGGGTTGGCAGTACTTTCTCTTGGGTGAGCTAGATTGTCGGTTGACACATTCCCGGAGAGTTATCTTGCTACGTGAAGCTGATTTGTATATTCGTGGTATGACTTCGAGCAGGCGTTTAGAAATATCATGATAATGCAATGTCCTTAACGATCCCTTTTCTGGGAATGGAGACTAATCTCGCATCACCCAAAATAGTGCGGTCTAATGGACTGTTTTTGCATGTCGAAAAGTTAACAGCATGTCTTGTAATCTGCAAGAGGTCGCATCAGCTTGATGAAAATCCCCACTTATTAAAAAAGGAATCGCATCGATGTGAAGAAAATGTTCTCAAGTGAATGCGTCTGAAGCTTCAGAACTTTGATATGTTAAAATACAAGGTTGAAATTCACAATGGTACAGGAAATTTGTTCAGAAAAATGTCACACACAAAAATGACCTTGACCGACTTGAACCAACACGGATAACCGTAGATGACGGACGACATCTCAAATTCATTTATTGTCAGTTTGTTCTGAGCTATGTTAGTTGAGGGACTTCAGTTCGAAAATCTTATCACCTATGAGAGTGTGAAATAATGTACTCCATAGCGTACCTAGTCCCAGCTGAGTTTACCCAGTTTTGTTCATCACCTACGAAGAATCAAACAATTTTCTATAAATATTTGAACAGTTCCACGGAGCTCATAATGAGAACAAAAATTGGCAAACAAGCTCGTTCCCAGTGTGTCTCAATCATGCCATTACAACACAGTAGATATTAACACAGAGATGTTCAAGGAAAAAAGTGAGAAAGTAATTAAAGTATTCAACAGTCTGTTTTATAATTGGCCCCCAATTATCACTTGCTCCGATGTTTCGTGGCAGGTCACCTGTCGGCAATCCGGCCATGGGAACTTGAGTGCTTACAAAAATTGTTTCTGAGCCCACAGAGGAGAGTTGTGAAGATGGATGGAAATTGCCTCCGCTGTGGCTAGAATGCGAAACCGCACGTGCCTAGACCGTCCCTCTATACACGGGTCGAAACGCTTCGGTCACGTCTACAATGTGCTTAGTGTCAACGAGGTGCGATACGACCGCACTTGTGACTGAATTAATTGCTCCGCTTCGCAACGACGCAGGGTGATGCTCACGGATGAGCTCGGACAGACGCCTGGTCATGCGGCCAGCACTTTACTCCATAGGAGCAAGTAAAAGAGTAAATAAAGAAAGAGGCAGCAGAATTGGGCACTCTATCCTTCAACCGTAGATACACTAGCGGGCTAGATGTGAATCAAGTTTGAAGCTTAGCCGCGTAGAACGTTTTGTTGATGGCATTTGATAACCTCTTCCAAGGTGTCACCTTTAAATGGTGAGGAAATATACACAGAATTCTTCTCAGCAATAACCCTCTTGGGAGACGCCTCTTGCCGTTGCATCACAGATTCGACCAAGTGCTCCGGGTATCCATTCTGGATAAAGATTCCTCACATTTTGGAGTTCTTCAAACAGCATGTCCTTCGTGTAAATTCTTCTATTGGCCAGACAGAGTATGGGATTCTTCTTCACATTGTGTGGTGCAAAGCTACGGAAATGAATGTACTGCCCATTCCAAGTCGCCTTCCTGTTTACTGACCACCTAAAGGATCCGTCAAACATCTGAGTATGGTTGTAGATTGTTTGCTTCATTTTCAATCGTGAATTTCAAATTCCGATACGCAGTATTGAAACGATCTATATGTTGGCACTCCGTTGTAGAATCGATCACGCACAAAATATTGTCTACGTAACATTCGTACTGTACGCATTGTTTGATAAATGTTTTAAGTGGACTGTTTTCCATTTTATACATGAAAAAATCGGCAAATAAGGGCCCTAGCGGGGACCCCATTGCTACGTTGTCCTTCTGTAAATAGAAAGCATATTTTAGGATAGAGTTATGTGACTGGACGACTTCTGAGTTTCAACGTTTCTGAAGAAGACAAATTACTCGGCGCGACAGAATGAATTTGCGTTGTGTCAATTATGCTCTTGTGTATTCATTTTTACCAGTATGTAATAAAATTTTAGATGCTTTTAAGGGAGAGTAAACCACATTCGAGTTGTTAGTTAATCAACCTGTTCCCAGAGGGTTTCATGGGACGGAGGGATCAGGGCTTAACCGTGAGCAGTTTAATCATTTTTATATGGACTGCTATGTAGTTGCTAGAGGATTTCTCATTGGTCCTTCCAATGTTCTGGGTTGCAAGCCAGATCCTAACTGATGTATAGACTTATACAGTGGTTTGGTGAGGAAAGAAATTGAAGAAATTTTCTTGTACAATAATTTCACACCTAGTTTGGATGCTCAACCCTTATGAATTCTCAATGGCGTCCTTCCTCTCAATTCCGACGAAAAAATTAATGTGATTTTAAATACCTTGTGCAAAAGCTTCAGCTATGACGGAACTAATCATAAAGTGACACATTGCCCATCCATCGACATCGTTAAATATTGGTTACTAAGCTATTGTATAGGTAAGCTGAAATACAATATATGTGTTATTGTCTTGTCGATCGGGGTTACGAATGAATTTGGTCACACATTTACTTTGTTTGGGAAGAATGATGACTTTGCTGTTGACAATAACACTAATGCTGCCAAGACCTAACGGTAAGCCTCAAACTCGCCTCTATTCATGAGTTGAGAGGTTTGATTCTCATCGCCGTGGAACAAATTCGCTGCTGCGTCATGTGTCCCGCACTCAATTTAGTGACTAAAGCCTGTGACTATAATCAATTATGTTCAACCACACAAATGAAATCAATAAAATCTAACTAGATATCTTAATTGATTTCATATTTGTCAATCTTGTTTAGTACTATAATTGCGGGACCAATGAGGATATACAAAGTCAATTCCTTTCATAGTCTATGTCTTCTAACTTACCTGCTCATTATTATTATTATTATTAATATTATAGTATTATTACTATTAAAGATCGCAGAGCGAGCAAAAATAGGCACCGCAGATTGGATGAGCTTACTTTTAACTTTTGTTTGCTCTCCGAGTGTGTTTGATTCACGCCTCCGATTTGAAATGGATGTCTTCGGGTTGTAAAGTGAACAACAGGTGAATTGAGTTTTGTCCGGGTTGTTTACGTCCTCAAACTCAATAGGTTCTGAGGACACATCCAAACTGGGTGTCGTGGAATTGTCTGTGGTCTCCGGACTGTAAAGAGACAGTCCAAACATAACTGCCTATTATGATGATTTCAGTCACACACACATGTGATAAAGTTATCGTGCAAAAGATTACCTTAATCCAGTATTCATTTCATGCGGTTCATGTTTCCGAGCCTCACCCACACCCAGACAAACACACCCACACAGTTTCACTGTCCCGATACAAAAGCCTCTCTGACGAAATTGTAGATAAGAAGCAAGTGGCAAGTGTCTGCGCGCATGCATGTATGGTAATGCATGCCTGTTTGCATGCCAAATGAGATCTGCTTCATGCAACTCATTGCACGGGATGCTTACCACGCTGATGGTCTGTGTGAGATTGTCGAATCGGATGATTGATTTCTTTGTGGTAAATTGATTTCCGGTCCAGATTTGTTGTTTCGCGCTTCTTTATGCCTACAGCCCAATGACAAAGTGTGCACATCTTCGATCAGACTACGTGACAATTCACTCGTCGAACACTGTCGCCCAATGAGGCCATCTGTGAACTGGACCCTCTGACCGCCACCTTCGATAAAACTCTGAGTCATTCGATTGGTGAAATTGATATGTTCTGGGCCACGTAGCTGGATATCTATGACCACATTATACGAACTGTTCTGGCCGGGCATTGCGTTTGATTTGACATTTCCAGTGCTTGATGTGCGCGATAGAGTGAACGATTCGGTATCCACATTGAGCAGACCACTGGAAGGGACCAGCGGGGTTTTCTCAAAAGATGGCATTGTCACGGGCATACTTCGCTGACGCGTATGAACCGGTACAGGCAAATTGCTATTGGAAACCGGCTCTGGGGCTGGCGGAACAGAGGGTTTTTCAATATGTTTTCTCCAAGCTAGTCGCACTTGTGGCTGTGAGCAATCGATCATAGTTGTGCCCTTCAATGTGTTCTCCTCTTGATTACGAACGGGACAGACAGGTCGACGAATAAACTGGTCCACTTTTACAGGATCATTATTGCTACGTGTTTTAGTTGGTGGTGTAGCTGGTTGAAAGTGTAGTGGTGGATGATATCGATAAGGTAAAGGCTTATCTTCCATGGACCTAAGAGGATTAATATGATGGAAGATACTGCAGTCAGTGAATTTATTTATGCGGTTCAAAACAAGTAGCAAGCAAGTAAATACAGTGAGCAAAATGTTGTGTGCGTTTTGCATGCCACTCCATTGAGTCGAAAGAAAAGAAAAACTACATGATTCGGAAAACGATTTGGGTGATTGTTTCTATTGATGATTGACTTAATCTTTTAAACTATGGGGAATAGATAACACCGTGTTGGTGATTTATTGGTAAAATTCCGCATTAACGTGCATCAAGTAAAATCGTCCAGAACGATGAACAGATCACTTTCAAAATTGAAGAAATATCTTGCAAATGAACTGGTTAACGGAAAAATGGATTCGTCACCCATGCATACACGGCATGTGATTCGCTGCAACAGTACACACTCGACCTTGTTTTATGCCCTGAGACACTGCGAATTGGTCAACCAACTCGTTGCAAGTGCTTTCTGACCACACTAGCACAACATGATTTGCGTATTCTGTAGTTTGCGATGGGACAATACGAGAATCTTATGGTAGCTGTGTCCTCGTTTTTTTAGAGTGACTCGCTTCATGTAGTACAGCTGAGATATCTGTATCAAAGTAAGTGTCACACGTTATGGCATGGCTTATTGATTGGTGACGGAAAATTGTTTCGCTGAAAAATCTGTGTATGAAATCATTTCGAACAAATAGACGGGGTAGACTAAACAAATATTTAAAACCGTCAATGTGCAGTGTCAAGTGTCAAATTGAGACCAAAGTCCGGTAGACGATAAATGTATGTATGTAGGCGACAATGTATGAATTTATTCAATACTATGATATGGGTGTTGTTCGTAACGTTCTATTTGATTTCGATGTGACGTACATAGTGTATGCAACGTATATCCACATGACCCTAATCTAGCCCGTTGATAAGTTATCAAAAAATGCATACTGTTACAATTGTTGTACACTGAACGAAAAAATACCCACTATCACCAAGGGCCATGTTATGGCACAGGTGAAGTGGTAATCGTGTGACACATCCTATTGGCATTTCAGCATCTAATTACCGAATAATAAGTATGGGGGATTCATCAAAGCTCTTATACTTCGGAAGTGCTTTTTACCAGTTGTGCAGCAGAATAGATAAAATTCTCTATAAAATTTGAAAGGCCTGTTGTTTTGTTTATCATTCTCGATTTTCCCCTAGAGATAAGCGACATATTTCTAAATTTTAAGAAAAATCGGATATCTAATATGAACCAAGAATGTCTGTGGTTGCATTAAACAAAGAGAAATCCACCCACCTTTACTCGGATTAATCGTACATCAGACCAACACGGGAAAAGATTGTCACGCTGTTAAGTAAACAAAACAGACCGATAAGATCCTAGGTGGACACGATGGCTTCGTCTCAAAAGAACCAAACGCTATGGTTAAACTGTCAGAAAACTTCAAACAAAACCTCATGCCGCAGTGCACCCATCAGAATAATTGCAAGGAGTCATATTATAAAGGTCAACAACTCGTTATTATCAGTTCTTGGGCTCAGTCATCTCTTAGAGTCACGAAATGGTAACCTCACCGCTTCTATTTGCTTTGGTTCACTGACAGTCCATAGTTTGAGAAGCAGCACTGAACAAATACAGATACATTACCATACATGTCTCCGATTGGAGAGACCTATTTACGATAAAAAGCTGAGTCAGGATTCCAGGGGAATGCCTAATCTATTGTTTTCTTTGCAAACCTCGATTCATTAAGTGTAATTTTCCGACTTATGCCAGGGTCGCCTAGACAACGTGATTCTGTCTGGGTTCAGCGACCAACATTCAATGAGCAGACACTGACGAACGGTAAATAACAAAGGTATTTACATTGCAAAGTGTTATTCGTAGCCAGTGAGTGATTTCACCTTATGCCTGTTCGTTGTGAGTTAACGCTGATAGTTTTAACGATGGGGTGGTTGAACGACTGAGGAGGTAAGCCGTTAACCAATAGGGGGTTCTATTTGAAATACAAATATAGCGAAGTTTCTTTAGAACGATGATACTCAAATGGCGTTGTTCAAAGTTAAATTGGCTCGGAGATTATGTCTGATTTAAACGGCTGCACCCCATCATGATACCAGTTGTATACCTTGTTAGATTTTTTTGTTGGCCACTTCCCTTATGAATATTTGTGCAATTGTTCAGATTAGAACTTTTCTTCACAATAAGATTTATCCGGTGTTGAGCCCTTTTGAATTTAACAACTTGCTTCCTAATGTATCACTCCAACCAGGCTTGACAACAATAAGCAGCAGCGTTAAGAACCTAATTCAAATGGGTAATGGTTTCCAGTTTTCTTGCGCGGCAATCTGTTATCAAAATTCACGTCTGCTAGACGTGGCGCACCCTCAATTTTAGACTACGCTCACCGTTCTGCCCAGTGTTCCGTTCAGGAGGTGTTTTGGCTCCTCAAACTATGATCAATTGAGTTTCATGAAGGTTTCCGATATTTTGGATTTGAACGCTGAACAGGGCAACAACTTCTTATAATCTATTCAAACGGTTACCATGCCACACCCACGATATGTATGCTACAACAGTCCAGTTAATCGCATTGTATACAATAGCACCGTGACTGTCTCGGGAAGAAGTTAAACGCTAAATATAAGTTTTTGTGCACTGTAGTACACGCAATAAATTACGAGACTAATGGTAAAATCGGACAAGAGAGGTGGAGGATAGGCAAACGGTATTAGTCAACGCGATCGACTACTAACGCGATGGTTGAATCGTTTTCGGACATGTCATCGGTTAGACTCCATTGGTGCGTGATGTTCCTCGGGACCGGAAGAGGTTGGAATAGGTCAAAGTGGCCATAAAGCTGATGATTAGACTAATTAGGAAAGTAAGCCATTTTATACTTCTCGACTTGGGATCAGTCTAATCAATGACAGAACACGTTTGGCGACATATTTGGGTGTTTTTTATAGTGAACCTCTAGGGAGCATTCAATTTTAACCAAGTAAGGCTCAAGTTAACCTTACCCTCACTCTTTAACTTTATTTCAAAGACACTACCCGTTTTCGTTTCTTTTTATTCTTATTCATCAGTCGATAAAATAGTTAACCAAAAGAAAGGACTTGAAACCGGAACAAATTAGAGCACAATTTTTTTATTCTTCAAACTGGAAAAGCGGCACTTTCGTGATGAGACCTGATACCAAAGATCGTTCCACGGGTTCTGTACCGAAACCAGTGATCGGTAGTGAAGCGTCGATTGAAAATTTATTTCTATTCTTGTTTTTTGCAAGCGTTTAGCAGACCACTCGTTGCCTAAGATATTGGTTATTTGAAATGGATGGTATACTACAGTTAACGGAAGCCCAAAGTTTTCATTCTTTTCCGAGAATCTTTTGGGTGCATTTTTCAAGTGGCACAATTTTTTCATTGAACCTTCAACCTTTTGTGCGCAATTTAGTTGAAAATGCATGACTCAGCAATCTAACCTGTTTTGGGATGATCTGAAGATCCTGGTAATGATCATTACTCGTATATTCATCATTTTTTGTTCAAATCACATGACAAGGTCACGACCAGGACCGGTTAGTTCAAAATTACCACTCCTAAGAAACCTATGCAACCACATTCCAAAATCAAGGGGCAGTCGTGTAACAGTTACGGCGCATGATATATGCTCATAAATGATAAAATTTAGTTGACCGGTGAAATATCCAAATCTGTCTTGAAATCAGCTGTCAGTTCTAGCGTGACTGTTACTGAACTATTCACATTCCACTTGGGTTATTGGTTTTTCAAGGGTAGTTTCCACTAAGATAAGCAGAGCTCAGCCATGACATTTACTTAAAACTATGCCCCATGACGAGGGGATTTGTTCCACTGGTTGACAAGTCGATCGACAACCGGGCAAACTGTATTACTGAAGCGACTTTATATTAGTTTTGGTGGCCTCTTCAGTCCGGCAATTGAACATGGGGTATTCTGAGTTTCAAAAGGACGCATTTGGTGAAGCTAGTTTATCAGTTCATCGGGAGGTAATCATAGTCGGTAAATGAAATCAGAAGGGTTTTCATACACCCAAACAAGAGTAATTAATTTCCAGCGTCCGGCTTTGGCGGTTGTAGCACATGCGTAGTAGTTTGATTTGCCAGTGATCACTGATCGACTTCTATAGTTTTCAAAAATTGGGTTAATCATTGATTGCAAACAATTTTCGTCAACCTGTCAGTATCCTCGTTGTCCATGAAAATTTCTCACACAAAATCCTCTCTGTACGACTCCAATAAACCATGACCGAATTTTGAATCGAAGTCTAATATACGCAGTTTCTCTCAGCAGCTGATTGCTTATAGACATCAACTATAGTGAACATGTATTCATTGGCATGGTTTATAACTTGCCTCAAAAGGTTATAATGAACCCGGTTCATCTGATCACCCCAACAAATACTCATATCAAAATTTAGAACCGATTTCACGATAGCGGGCAGTTACTTCGTGTGATACACACTGATATCCGATGCATCAACTTTTTATGTACCTCACTTTGACTAGGCAGCTGTGCACTCAGTAGACGTCGTGAACAGATAAATTCCCGGGCATCTTTAGCAAGTAACGAGAGCTGGTATCACCATTCAGATTTAGCATTATCCTCTGCCCATCTATGAGGTTTATTGGAATGATGTCAACTAAAATGAAAATGTTCCCAGCGGTAAATGATCATTATTATCTGAAGATACTTATACTGTGAAGGGAGTCTTTTCAGCTGGACCTTACATACTTCCAGTTGATGACGCAAGTTATGTAAGTAGATTTACGGCATCTTTTCACCGCTACAACAAGTTAAAGAAACAGAGGCAGAATCTATATCCCGTTTTACACAGGACATTTTGAAAGACTCCATCTGCCTTTCTCAAAAATGGAAAAGATGGAAAATGAAACGTAAATGGTATCTCTTTTCAGCCGTAGAAATTAAATTTTTGCCAATCAAAAGTAGACTCCTT